AGTAGTAGTAGCAGTAGCAGTAGTACTAGTACTAGTACTAGTACTACTACTACTACTACTACTACTACTACTACTGCTACTACTACTACAAGTAATTGTACTCGTACTAGCAATCATTATAGTAATAGTACTAGTATTAGACATGTTGTCGTAGCAACAGCAGCGGTAGGACTGCTGCTGCTACTGCTTCTGCTGCTGCTGTTACCGTTGCGGCTGCTGCTCCTGCTCTTACTACTGCTTCTGCAGCTGATACTACTACTGCTACCCGACTATTCTCATTCTTCAACTGGGCAGTGGCGAAAAACGTTAAAAGGAGGGAGCCCAAGATTGCCTGACTACACAGGGCCAGAGCCGAGATTGAAATGTCCACCTGTATCTGCGCACATGATTTTGCAACAGGCTTTGTCAACCGGAGGGGCTCACACATGAAGTGCTCAGGTTGTCTTCTCTGAAGGAGTCTGGGCCGTCGTAACGATGTGCACATGCTCGACGCACGATGCAAGACTGTAGATTTTCAGAAAGCCTCTTGATCTCAGACCTGCAGTAGATCCCTCGCCATACAGCTGGCCATACGGGCGGCGGCCTCCTCTTCCTCCTCTTCAGCAACAGCTGCAGGCACCTATAGGCACTGTGTAGGGCTGAGCAAAAATGCTTTTTAGCTCTGGATTTAAGTTCCCATGGGACCACCAGAACGCTTTCTCCCTGCCTGCGGGCTCTGCCGGTCCTGTGGCCGCAGCACCTGCATCGAGAGCGCAGGTCTGCGTGACTTCCCCAACATGGGCGCTTTCCGAGGCCCCTCTTTGCCGGCAGGCCTCACTTGAGCTGCGCCGGGCTTCTTTCGGCCTGGCTGAACTGTGCAAAGTCCGCCGTCTAGTCCAGCGCTGCATGTCTTGCGCTATCAAGCACACCGACTTGATGGACACAACGTCTCCTCTCCAAGATCTGAATGCAGAAGCGGTCATGGCTACAGAGATGACTGGCAGCAGAACTTCGCCAGCATGTCCGGGGATGGCTTGCGGAAACCTGCAAGCACGGATAGATAACCGCTTCACGGTCGAAGATGCTGCTGGGCACTCCGCGCTTCGAGGAACGTGTGGCGCTGTCCCGGAGTGCTTGATCCCCGCATCCCTCATCCCCTGAATGCCTGAACCTGTCCAGACGGCGACGGACACTTCTTCGTCTGCTGGAGTCGGACCTGCCAAAATTGGGCCCTGGCAGTTTGGATGTTCTTCTATGCTGTTGGCAGGATCAGGGGGCATCGGTTGATGGAGCGTAGCTTGGGATGCTTGAGAAGCAGGGCTGTCGGGGAAGCTGCCTCAAGCTCCATATTTAAACCGCCGTGTGCGAGCAGCTCAGGCACGTCATCATCTCTCAACGGCTTTAAAACGAGATCGGGAAGCTACCGGAAGCACAGAGGGCCCTGGTCTTGGCTGGACAGCTGCTGTCCTTTTCAAGGAGTTTGCCGCCAGACTCTGAAGAGAAATTTCGGTAGCAGGAGATGTGGGAATCAGATCTCCCGATCCTGAAAACCGGGTGCATCTGGCATCGCGAGGAAATCCATCTGCTTTGCACACAGACTGCAAAGCCACAGACAGAATCTCGGGCTAGCTAGGACGTCAGCTGTCTCAGGAATGCGTTCCTTGGCTGGATGGACGCCACCAAGAGTGATCTGTCTCTCTGCAGTGTCGAATTCGATCAGGCAGGGTTTGCAAGCGGGTTAGCTACTCGTTGATTATCGGGATTCCTCAGAGAGTTGATTGCTCAGCGAGCCGTCTCGGTGGTTAACTGGCGGATCAGTGAATCCGCCTCGGCCCACAGGTTCCGTTTTGGAGGGCCCCTTGTCCCCCCTCCCTGCGCCCAACACCCACACCTCTCTCTTCCCAAGGCCCCCGCTACCCTGATTGCCTTTGAACTCAACGACACATCCGAAACTAGCACAAGCACAGCAGTTACAAGCAGGTTAAGGTTTGCCCGCGCCCTGCCGGGATCTGCCAACGGGAGGCGGACGGAGGAGCTTAAATTGCGAATCCTGCAGATAGACACATCAATACGTGAGCGAGTCGTCGTCGTCGCCGCAGCAGTGGCAGTAGCGGTAGCTGTGGAAGTAGCAGCAAGCAGTAGCACAAGCAGTAGCACAAGCAGTAGCACAAGCAGCAGTACTAGTAGTCGCAGTAGGTGGTCGTGGTAGAGGCACTGGCGAGAGTGAATAAAGCCATGGCAGCAACAACGCCTGCATTAACCCAGTAGCCACAGCAGCTTCCGACGGATCACAGTTCGAGGCGACGCCGGAGTGCTCTGGAGGCCCTGCCCGGGGCTGCATTATGTGACGTCGACATCTTACACGAAGCCTTGTAAAACTACTTCCTGTTGCTTGTATTATCATCAATTTTCATTGCGTAATCTGATCTACGATGTCTGAGAGCACTGTTATCTACCACAGATTGCAACGAATCGTAGTATGTTGTAAGTAGCATATGTGTTGCATGCTGGCCACAATCTATCATCATGCCAGGTACAAGATTTCACAACGTGTCCACGCACCCGTACAATGTATACATACAGGACGAGGCAGGCGTAGTACACGCATACCTGCCTACCTACCCGGCGACCTACCTAGCTACCTGCCTACTGAATTACCTCGTCCCTCCCTCAATCCCTCCCTCGATCTCTCCCTCCATCCATCTTTTTGGCCTGCCTGCTTCCCTGCCTGTACATGCCTACCTGCCTACCTGCCTTCATACATCCATGCATCCATGCGTGCATATGTACATGCACACATACTTACTTACGACAGACAGACAGACAGACAGACAGACAGACAGACAGACAGACAGACAGACAGACAGACAGACAGACAGACAGACAGCGCGGCGGGTGGTACTTAAGTTGAGATCCGACTTAGAGGCTCGCAAGAACAACGAAAACCCCGCTAGACACATGACATAACAGCATCTCACAAAGAAATGCGGCCTCTTCTGATCCCCGAGCAAGCATCTCAGCAACATGCATTACACGACCCTGCAGAGAAACGGACTCCGCTCAGCCGGGGCAATCCATACTTGAAGCTGTGTTGCTCTGTTGTACCTCCCAAGCACTCGCTACCAAAGCCTTGCCCGATCTTACCGCCACTCCTTGAATGCTACCACCGTCGAAACATGGGCTCAACCAAAACCTTTCTTTGCAAAGGCCTTGAGACCCCTACCACCCTGGCATCTCCGACAGGGCTTGCCTATCATGGCTCGTAGAACGCTTCAATGCTGTATCTTATCCAACTACCGCTGCTGCATCTTGTCATCTCTAGTGCGATCTTGATTGACATCCCCAGAACCCCAATCGTCTTGCTCAAATCATCTTTTCTAGAAGTATCACGGGCTTATGCCATGATGAAAGCTACACGTCGAAAATGCAACTGCCCGCTTGGTAAAGCAACACGTACACGTGTTCCAAATGTCCTCTATCCCCATGAGTTTCAAGTGGTTATAGCCCAGTAGGCATGTGGTATAGGCACGCCCAGGCCTTCATCCCTGACCCCGCATAGCCCTAAACCTGAATCCTGAACACTACGCCCAGCACATACACACACGCAATACGCTAACCTTACGACGGAACGCTAACGTCTAGGCAATTAGAGTGACGGATACATTACATTCTCGACTCATCGACTTCTTGTATGTATCATGTATCGTAACTGGTGCGGTTTTGCAAAAGCTGACCACAGTACGAAACCGTCACTGCTACCACGACAGAAACTTGCTCACCTGCAGAACTTGGTCCGCCCACAGGCCGTCTGAGCTGCTGTGTGCATCTGTCCGCGCACCTCCTGCACAGTTGGGCCAGCACCGAGCATGTCAGCAGAGCTCGAATGCTTGCAGGACATGCGCGCTGGGCTTCGCAACCGCAAATCACCCCCAATGCCCCCATGTGTCTGACGACCTCCCTTGCTGTTCCTTGATTCCTTGCTCCTGACTGGGCGGACGGTTTCGGAGTTCCGTGGGATCTGAAATCGAAGTGCGGTGCACAAAAACCGCATGGCCTCTGGTTCTGGGCAAGAGCAGGTGACAACTAGGATTCTATCGGGGTTGAGGGTTTGGGGTTTAGGGTTTTCGGCTTTGGTGCTTCGAAAGGGCCAGCTAGGGAGCCGCAGGCGGGCAAGTCTGAGATGTCAGTGTTTCACGCAGTACTCCCACGAAAGATCATCTGCATTCCAGCAGACACCCGAGCCACGTGATCATCCAACACTACAAATGATATGCTCGCCCGGAAGACTCGTGCTTGGGATGATGCTTACTTGCAATACTTCTGCATTGGGACGTCCTTGTAGGAAACAGTAGCTGCTCTTCTCAGTTTTCCCATGTCGACCACTTTGCAGATGCAATCATGAGAGTTTCGGCTGCCCATCTCATCCATTTTGTGATGGGAATGCCAGGGCCACGATTTTAAAAGACTCTGCCATAGAGTGCAGATTGACATCACTATGTACAGCCTTGATAACTAAGCAAATCGCCAAAGCAGGGACAGAAATTCAAGACCAGATCGTGTCTTTGACACTTTAGAGAAAAGGTCCCCCGTCTTCTGCCCCTGATCTCTAGCCTGGAGGCATCCCTTCTCGCTTCGCTCAGAAAGGAAGACGGCTCGAAGGAGCCAGCCTCATGTATAGCGATCACAACAACCAGGCCGCGTAGAAACCTACAGTTCGCAAGGATTGCCGGGATCAGCTATCGGCCACCATAGGATACCGCGGTTCAGCCCCATGTAGCCAGCATCTTCGCAAATGCCGAGCACGTAGCTGAGACCGTTTGAAAGCAGCACCAAAAAAAGCACGGTGTGGTACTGCGCAATCGCAACTACTGCAAAGTGGCCCCAGAAGGGCAGCTCCTGCAGTTCATCCACTGCACTCGGACTGCTCCAAGAATCGTAAAAAAAGGAGTAGTGCAAAAAGCACTGAGGAAAACCCAAGAAAAAGGAAGTCTCGAACCAAAACGGTGAGTAAGTAGCAAATGAAGATACAAATGCAGAATGGCCAAACACAAAGACTGAGATGCATGACTGCATCTGTCGCGCATGCAAGCACATCAGCACTGCACTTTGTAGAGACCCGTGTATAATATACGCATATGAAGGAATCATCTAGCAATTTTCAGCTGGACAGAATAACCTTGAGTAAGAGCGCCGTGCTACGATACCATGCAACCCCCCTCACCCGCACACACACACACAGAAATATGTTTGACTGTACAAGATTGCACAACAACACACGACAATCTACAGCACGTTATGCGGCCATGTGTACAGCAGTTCTCAGCAAGATAGACTGGCGGATTTTCTGCAACCATTGATGTTTGTAAGGCCCGCGTGCAGGCCAAGCAATATGTTCGCAGTTGCACATATCTCTGAACACATGTTTGCATGTAGGCGTGATGTTCCTGGCAGCTGGCCCGTGGCAGTCGTCTTACCCGATTTCTACGAATGTAGGACGCTAGTCGCGCTGCGTTACGAAACTCTTTGCGATTTGACAAATTGAACCTATCTAAATTACTTGTTGCTTATGTAGCAGTGCCTGATTTTGCGCTTCAGCTATCGCATCCTATGTAATGTGGTCGCACGTCGTCTACAGAATGGTCTAGACACTGTGCTTCGTCCTGTCTCTTGTGCGATATACTTCTGTTGACCTGCATGCATATGTATGTATGTATGTATGTATGTATGTATGTATGTATGTATATATATATATATATACATATACGTATGCGTCTACATATATACAGATATATACATGTGTTAGCTATTCACTTACTGGTATCTGTTTCTTGTTTTCGTAACATTCGTGTTTAATTTGTATGTAAAGGTACATTTATGTTCGTATGTAAGTTTTGCGTGTATATTCACAGTTATGTACTTAGACTGTGCACATGTCCGTCACTACATTTGGGTTGTCTAGTCCTATCTTTATTCTTGGTGTCCACTGTCTTGTTTATGTATGTTATAAACATGTGTCTGTGTGTATACATATATATATATATATGTGCATATACCCATAGTCATACATACTTTCGCCACTGCTTATTTTGTGTGTGTGCCCATCTCTGTTTACACAACTGAATTACCAACATGAACGGAACATATGCCGATTCCGATTGCCTGTTCATGATTGTTTGTAGGTACCTTCCTTGCTTCTTTATTACGCATGTGTTTGTATCTTGATCACTTTCGGTACAGTATTGTCACTTGCTTTTCTACTGAATTTATCAACCTGCTATGTGATGTGCATATATCTCGAAATAACAGCAGCCAATATAGTCCGTATGTTATAGACATATATATATATATACAGGCAGGACACTCTTCCCGGTGGTTTGCGGGGCCTCCCCCTACCCTCTTTCCTTCCCCCTCCCCCTCCATACTCCGCCCTTTCTGAACTTCAGGGTTTGAATCTGATTCATTTGGTCGGAGTGGCAGAGTCCGGTCCCCTAAACGCTAGAGGTTTCTGCCACAGGCTGACAGGCTGGCGGCACAGAAAAGAGGCCGGATGACATGCTGAGGACTCTGTCCTTAGACCCCCAAACCGCTGAAGCACAAATATAAGCCGCTAAGCCATCCATGAGTCCAAGACCTCAACGCCTAAACCCACCCAATACAACCTTCCTCTGACGCTTCCTGAAAGTTTCTCATGGGTTGTGATAACGGGAAGGCTAGAGATAGCTGATCGGTTCATAAAGCCGGTAGAAGAGTCCTGGATCAACGGTCAGAGGTATACAAGTTTAGGGCCTAGAAGTTTCTGCCACAGGCTCCGCACTCACAGCCGTGACCACGATGCAGACACTAAGTGGGCGCGAAGCATGCCCGTGTGTCTAGCATGCATATGTGTATATGTCAGTATATGTATGTATACATACGTGCACACATACAGGCATACAGGTGTGCAGAAACACAAGTGGAAATACATGGAAAGCCAGGTAATCAGCACCGTTCAAGTAGACTTACTTGTATGTTGAATGCTAGTTTAGGGTGTGCAGGGATTTGCATGATTGCTTCCTTTTCGCTCCCATTTCAACCAGACCGTTGAGTACCTACTTGGGGGGTTGCGGTCCTGAATAAAGCTAGCCGGTCGTGTGACTGCATGGATGCAAAAATATGTGTATATATATATATATATATGTAAAGAAATGTACACATATGCTTGTTTGAAAATACATGTATATATGTGTACAGGTACGAGCACGCATGCTTAGGTGATGCGATCTCACACGTGCGCACATGCGTAGATGTGCAATGACCTATAGATGTAAACCTTTCATGTATATGGATTTGGGTACCCACGTGCATATTCGACAAACGTACACACGTGTCGACTCCGCACCAAGAAACATGACGGTCCCGAACTCCTCGAAAGGTTGTTCCCTGTAGGCGAAGTCGAGGGCCTCTCGGAGCCTCCAACTTTGCAGCCGCATAGACTCGGCATCCGTGATTTGAGGGCCTGGCCAGAGTGCAGGCAGAGTCCAGACTGTCTCTGCATGTGTGTGTGTGTGCGTTTGTGTACGCATGCGTGTAAATATATTTGTATCTGTGTGCATTTAAGTATGCCTGTGTATGTGTATACTGTATACACACACGAAGGTGCATGTGTTTACATGCGAGTATACGCCTGCATGTGTGTTTTTCTTGTTGCTTACTCTGCATTTACCGTAATGCATTGCATCACATGGTGCAACTAATTATCGTGCGGTATTGCGCTATGCTACATAATACAGTAGCGAAGCACCACATGGTACAGTGATGTACAGTGGACTTCCGTTCTCCTATGTTCTCCTATACGATGTCGTATGGTAACTCATACGACATGTTGCTAAATTCCAAGGAAAGTTCTACTACATACAAGCACGCAATACCCAGTGCGACGTTTTGATACCTACGATCCATCCAATGCCAATCCGACTATATTCTATCACAGTCGGCTACACTCCTTGGATTGCCATAGGTTCCAATGCAGGGAGCTACATTGCATCAGGTGCATGTCACGACATAACACTACGTCAACTTGCAATGTCTTGGGCTAGGCCACCTCTTCTTGCAGCACACGGCATACAGCGGCAGCATAGTAAATGGCGTCCAACCATTTTGCATTCAGGCACTCGCAGTCTGGTATATTGTCTGATACTGCATTACTGTACGTTGCATCGGCAGGCATCAAGTGAATCATATTCAACTCTCTTCCTTCGGCAGGACGAAAGTTTGTTGTACTGTTGCATGTTGGTCTTGAACACCTTTCAAACCCCTTCGCCTTAGACTCCTCCACCACAATCCTATGTCCGGGATATTGCAGCATTCTGGTTTGATTCGGGCAAACTAATTCTTCCACACTGGCCAGGCCACATAAAACGCACTTGTCGGTACTCCGCGTCCTCCGCATGATCCCATAGGCAGGTGCGACAAAACTATAATTGGCTCAAGTCTCGGAAGTTGCACACAGGTAATCACTGGTATATATGGGACTCGAGGCCCAACATGTGTGGGGACAACAGGCTCGTACTCAATCCCAGCTTGTAATGATTTGGCCGTGACAGCGAGGTGTGCCTTGCCGTTGCCGCGTGCGCCTGGCAAACCCGGTCACGGTCTTTGGCTTGGGTGCTTCCCTTTGGCAGCCAGGTAGTCAAGTGAAACCGTTTTGCGCCAAAAGGTTGACACACGTTGTGCCGTGCCCCTGCTAGTGCTGGGCGCTACGATGAAGATTGTGACCAAGGGCCTGTGCCTGGCTGTGGAGTACTGGCCTTGGCCAGCAAGCCCGTGCCACGGCAAGGTCTGCTTGCGTAGGGACGAGGTGACCTTGCCCTATACCTCACTGGTGGAAGTGCTCCTTCCCAGTTGAGGTGCAGCCTGTGCTCCTTCAATCTCACTGCTTCAACAAGTGCAGTTTCTGAGTGAGGGCTGCGTGCCACCAGAACTGCATACCGTGGGTTTAGGATGCTGAGTGGAAGGGGGGCCTCTCCTTCAGTGTTTTTTAGGGTTGTTCGCACCTTGTCGTTTTACAGTAGAGGAAGACTGTGAGACTTCTCTTCCTTCCCCGGACTTGGTGGAGGTGTAGCGTTGTTCGCCGTGGCTCTTGAAACGGAAATCTGAAGTTGTAGTGGCTGCTTTCCGTTTCAGAGCCTCTAGCACCTGTAGGAGTCCTCAAGCACCACCTTGAGGCTCTCTCTTTCCCAAACTTGCGACGGGCGCTTATGTAGGCGTGCTCTGTTGCCCCTTTGTGTGCAGTTTGGGTTTTGCATCGTGCTGCTTGGTGGCAGCAATCCCAAATGGTTTTGGGGACTCTCCAGTTGGGCAGGTGTTGTTTCCCTTCACAGGCGGTGCACCAATTAGGCCTGGTCTGCTTAGCGCTGCTTGGTGTTTGTGGTGTGTTGCTCTGAGGCCGCCTTCCTGCTAAGAGGTGTTTCCCAACCTCGCTCTATGGGAGTGAAGCCTTCAAGCATAAGCGACTTGCTTCGCGCCCCCAGGCTATGGGTGGCTTGGAACTGTTTGGCAGGGCGTGCTGCCCGCGCTGGCACGAAGTTGAGTTGAGGGGAAGCGTCGTCCCTGCTTCTAACTGAGGGGAAAGCGTTGGCCCTGCGCCTCATATACCAAGTCGAGGGGCGCCTTGTTTCCTCTTACCTCTGGCCTCGCTGTGTCAAGCTTGTCTTTGGAGTGGTGGGCACCTTTAGGGTGCTGTTTGCAGTAAGTTGTGTCTCCGCTGGGCCTTGCCTCTGGGACAAAAGTGCTTCAAACGTGTTGAGTGACCTTTGCACGGTGTGTACAGTGGGCACACAAGGGGAGGGCCACGTTCCTTGTTGTGCCCCGTACTTCTCGCAACCAGCTGTCCTCACCAGCTTGAGGTGAGCTGTGACTGGTGCCCAGTCACGGCCTCTCCTGGTCGAGGCAGGTGGTGGTGACCACACCTGCTGTCCCACAGGCGCTGGTGAACCAGCCCTCTGAGTAGGCAGACCTGTGGGTAGCTAAGCCGTGTAGGCACACCCAGCTACAACTGAAGGGCAGGTCCAACAGTGGCTGTGCCGCGCCGTCAGATAAGGCCTCCGGCCACGCTTTCGCTCTGGCGACAAAACTATAATCCTGGCGATGTATCGAGCAGGATTGCATTTTGTTGTATAACTCTACGACAAACTGCACACACATGATTCTTGCTACATTCTTTATATATCTACGTATTCATCTACGTATTCATGTAAACATTTTGATTTCATTGCCGTGTTACACACCAGTCACACACTTCAAGTGATGTTTCTCGCTAATTTATGCTATATCAGCTCCAGTGTACCGCAGACTCCACAATGTTTGCACAACTTACCTATCATGTTGCATTCAGTAGTCAAACTGTTGCTGGCCCACGTTTATCTTGCAATGGGCTGAATAGAAATCGGTCCTATTCTCTGCTGTCTTATTGACTAAGTCATTGGCATCACTTTTGTGGATAGTCATGCTAGGCTCCTCCTTCGTGCTAATTATTCCGAATCTATACTGTACAACACATGCTGCGTCATCCTGCGTTCTGTTACTGTTCCATGGTGACTGCAAGCGGCCTGTGTCTGAAGGATCGGGGAGCACCGCAGAGAACGACTTCAGCGAAGTGGTGCCAAAGGCCTCTCGTCCCCGACGACCGAAAATGAGCCCTGGAGGAGCCTGCCGGCCTACATGATAACAGTCAGAAGAAAAATGAGCTCTTGCTTGCACAAGCATCCTGCGACTGTCGTGTAACCAGGGAGGTTATCTCTTCATCTGAGACATTCGGTGCTTCGGGATGCACCCTCCAGCCCAAGCGTGCCAACACCCAGCTCAGAATATCTTCAATGACCTCTGCCACGAACAGGCTTCCGAGCGCCAACCCTATGCTGTCCTTACCCGGCGGCACTATGGGATGCCAGTTCAAGAGACGAGTCAGGGCAATAGCACCCACAGCGAAGAATCGCGTATATCCCATGCAATATTTCACCTCCTGCAAGAGCAAGCTGCACTGAGTCGCAGTTCGACGACCACATGTCAAAATGGCAAGCATTCGATCGATGCCTCCCACCCTTGCTGTGATGTTCCACAGCATGCCGCATGAAATTGGAAGTATGAAGTCGAATTCTGTGTTGGAGTGGTGGGCTATGTCTACGACAATCAACGTCAAACGAGCCCCTTCGGCCATCGCATGGGCAAGAGCGATACCCAGAGAGACGGTGATGCCCTGGTTTGAATGAACATACCTTAGATCAGATCAGACACGAACACTTCCACAGTGACTCAGAACTGAAGCCCAACCCTTGCGAAGACGACAACAGAAACGAGTTAATGCCGGAGAGATGCAGCTCACGAACAGCTTTGTTGGTTACAAACTGCTGTGAGAAAACTCGGGAGATGATTGCCGTCGCGACCAGCTCATACATGCTAAGCAGGATCGGCATAAAGATACCTGCCCGGGTGACGGAAACACTGAAACCCTGTACCGCCTTGAGCTCTTTGGCGCCTGCTTCAGGCTGCTGATGCATTGTTGGAGTTCTGACCTTGAACCCTCAGAAAGGGGCCTAGCCATGCTCCCACCACGCGCTTGGCCAAACTGTAAGCCGTGGTCCCGAGGAAGAAGCCGACGAGAATGAAGCCGAAGGTAGCAGGACCTATGCATTTCGGGAAGTGACTCTGAAAGAATCCTCAACCCTCATAAACCTAAACCAGAAAAAGAGGCTGAACAGTGAAGCGTGCAGACGAAGCAGCCCATTCCGGCCGCGTAAGACTTAGCGGCAGGGTCGAGCTGTGGGGCGAAGAGAGCACCAATGGTCTCGCTCAACACGATCACGACAACGTGGCCGATGCCATATATCAGGATGAAGCCGCAATGCCTGGAAGAAGTCCGGCTACCCGCGCCAAATTGAAGCTACTATCACTTCATAGCAGGACAAGGCTGGTAAGGATCCTCCATGCGAATGCAGATGCCGAGCACATAGATGGACAGTCCCACTCCGTGCCCAAAACAACTTGCGAAGAAGCCTCTCAAGACACCTTGACCATGCTTCTGCGCAAAGTCAGACACGAGCACTGGGCCAAGGGCAGTCTTGCAACAGACAAGGCTAGTGTCTCCCGGTGCATGTCCAAAGACGGCAAAGCCACGTATGTTGGAGATGCCGATGATATGAACAGGCAGAAAGTATATGCAAAACCAACCAAGACACCGGAAACAGGTAACGAACCAATCGGTTCTGGAAACACCAGGGATGCCGGCCTCTGCGATACTCCAAGCCATGAGCCCGGCAACTATGAAGAGGGATGCAAAGAAGGAAGCCGCAAGCGTCTTGTACATGCCGGGCTTGCAGAGCACGACATCCCCGTATGGAGCCGATCCGGGCAAATCGAAGGAGTTCAAGGACCCCTTTCGCGTAACGGCGCCAGGGACAGGGAGACTTCCCTGTCTTCTCTGTGGCTTTAGCTGATCCGGGCTTCCCAACGGCGGAGTAGGCAGTGGTGCTGGAGGCGCAGATGGCTCAACAGACATCTGGCCATAAGACCCCATCTTAGCGGGTTCTTACATTTGGACGCTGCTCTTCCTCACAGCGAGGCCACATGAGCATCTGCGAGCTTGATTTAGTTTGATGGCCACAGATTCGCCATAACATGTGCAGTCATTGTTTTGCAAGATGCAGGCAGAGGTGCTGGTGTTCCTTATTTCCAGCGCAGATCCGTTTAAAGTGTTGTTATCATCTTTTCTGGCCTGCTCCTCTGTGGGAGTGTCAGCGACGAGCTTGTCAAACTCTTTCAGCATAGCACCTACTTGTCTTGGAGAAGTGAGGGGAGGTCTCAGGGGAGTTTGGAGACACAGCGTTTGGGATGCCCCACAACGACGCGAACGTCTGGAGTCAAGAAGTGAGTGCCTATGCCAACAAGGCATCCAGCCCGCATGCGCACACATACTCACACACACACACACGCACAAAGCTCAGACGTACGCAGACTCTCACCCGCGATCTCTTTTGGAGGCCTCCAGGTCAGCATCTCGCCACACAATCCAGGTACTGAAATCCATGCTACCAATCAGAGCATGGCTCCCAACGACCCTCTCCAACGACCCACCCAAACCTTTGCTACCAGAGCACGCATTCCTGGGACTAAAGCACCTTGAAAAGCCTTTAGAACTGCAAAGCACGCACCAGAATTCGACAACTCGGCTGAATTCCGTCGAAAAAGAGTGCTCAAACCACTTCAGCTCGCCGGCTTCGAGTTCTGGTCGGCAAGATGTAAACAGACTGAGTAGTCGCCGAACACAACAGGTGCAGCCAAGGGCGCTGTGGACGCTGTCAGCGTCTTGTCTGAAGACTTCCAGACAGGCATGTTCCACTGCGAAGGACTTCCAGTGAAATGCCAGCTCGCTCCTGAAAGCGTGCAGAAGGAGCAAGGTTGTGGCGATTTCAAGGGTGCTAAAAGTTTCGGAGCGATCAGCGATCACAGAGTCACAGAGCAGCTTGGGTCTAAGCCTCTGACGATTGCGAGGTGCCCATGACGATGGGAGCAGCTGTGGGCTCTTGCAGCCAGGCTTCTTGTTGATCTCTTCGTAGAAGGGCTCAGAGTGGCTCTTTGTAGCCCTGAGCATGCTGAACTGCTTCAAGAGACATGCATGGAACAGCTGCCGACAAGAAGACATGGACTTGCCTGCGGACATTCAGCGGCCATGCCATGAACCCAAGAACACAATGGTCGATGGCGCCAATAAACCTCAAGCGCTCTGAAAGTCCTCGACCCTTCATCCACATCCTGAGCTCTCCATGCCCTTTATGCCCTTTGACGCCACAGGCTTCAACATCCTCTCGAGATTTGCTAAACCCAAGCCCGCAGGCTTCGTAGTCTTGTTCCACCTCGCCTGAGCTCAGCCGTGCCGTCTGGCAGCGCTGCCACCTCCGAGCGACAGGGTGGCAGTCGCAACATACTTTGTGTCCAGATTTCCAGGCGTTTTCTCGACTCTGGGGGCTGCTGAAGCTTGAGGATGTGGGCTCTTGGGGACAAATGCTTCGGTCATTCACTTCAAGTCGTCTTGCTGTGTCGTGTCACGGCAGCCATACCACAGCTATGAGGTGACAGCATCAACCCCACGAAACTTCCAGCAGGAGGGCTTACAAATATGCTCTTCTTTTTTTGAATTACCAAAGCTGCTGCCTCGAGCTTGAGCCGCTTGAAAAGAGTCGCCAGGCGCTTCATACCACAAGTCGTCTTTGCCTTGACACAAGGTACGATGCATAAACTCGCGACAGCTGGAGCTGTTGACGAAATACCAACCTGACCCATTACACAACATCCTGTTGTAAACTTGCTTGCCGATGCTCAGGATGCTGATGCTTCCAGCTCGAAAATTCAGACTAGCTGATCACTGCGGCACTCCTATCCCATGTGTGCGAGTGCCTCGGTCAACTTGCATTTTGACGGCATGCTTACGTTGTCTGCTGCTTGCATATCCAGGGTGCATCGCCGAGGTGCTCTACGAACTCCTGACTTAGCAGCTCGATTACAGGACGATATGTTTCGGCTTCACACCGAAGAAAGCACCATGCTCCAAGACAAGGTAGGAAGGCCGAGAGTCTTCCGATGCAAGGATCTTCCTGCAGGACTCCCACACATGCCGGGCGATGCAGGGGTCTCTCCTACCGCAAAGTTGCTTCACTGGCCTGAGGTCGTCGACCTCGCTCGTCTTGGGCAGCGCCGACTGCACCACATGTTCACACACGGTACCTTAGGCAATGAATGACCGCGGCTGTTCCTCATGCAGAACCAATCAGAACGCCTTTGATAAAGACACCCTAGACTCTAGACACTTTCGTCGCGATGGTACAGTGATACATTTCAAGCGCACTCTGGCTGGCGCTATGTTCAAGCCCCACTGCAGCCAAAGGACAGGCAATGAACTTGCCCGCCCGCTTGCCCGCAGAGATGCGCTCCACGGTGCGCTCACCGATGGAGTCACTGGGCCAGGGCTCCTTTTGCAGAACACACTTCGAAACATCCAAGAGCTCAGAACTCCCGAGACGTTCGAGCATGCATGACAGCAATAACTCCATCAGCAAGGGACTTCGCGTGGGAAGTGCTGGATGATGAACTCCATGCGAAACCACGCAACTCTTTACTAACACGATGCGAAGCTTCCAAGGACTCGCGAGCCGGCGCCTCAAGACTCTGCAAAGAAAGGCTAAACTTCGGCTAGACGAAGCCTGGCAGCTCACCAGGCAGAGTCCCGAAAGCAGGAGGACGACTCTCATGGCTCAACGAGCGCACGGGGGCCCCTTCGACTTTTTGTATCACTAAGTCTTCGTAGTACTCCAAACGCTTGCTCAAAGCATCTTCAGGGTTGAGAGGTAAGAGCTCTAGACTCCTACTATGTCGGGCGCAGCTCTTGGCATGAGGGAGCGGAATGTCGTGCTGGCGGCTGCTGGCGATGGTGAAGGTGTCGAGAAGTGTGTGCACACCCGTTAGCTCATGGTCTGTTCCTAAGGCTTCCCGAGTCTGGTGATTCACGTGTGGATGAAGAAGCTGCGGTGGGAGCAGAAGTCTGCAGGCTTTGCATAAGCTTCGCACTTCAGAGCAAGCATCTCTGCATTTATGAAAACTGACACTAAATCACTGCTTGACTCAACTATGAGATCCTCGAAAAAAAGAGTGTGGACAAAGCCGAGTGGGCCGCATGCTGCTGAGATTGACCTGCCCCTGGCCACGAAAAACAGATGTAACTCCGCCCACCTCCATGGACTCACGCATGATCAGCAGCTCAGCTTTCCGTATCCTCCCCGAAGCAGTAAGGCCCCATTGCCCTCTCTTCGGTCAACGGTGATTTTCGCCCGCAGAGGCAAAATGCCATTCCTGAACCTGCCCTAGCGGTCTCGGGGACATAGATGGGCTTGAAAAGGCGACCGATCCACGAAGCCCGAAACCGTCCACATGAAGCCTGTCCTTCTCAAAAGCGAGCTCTGGAGTGGCAGCTTTGGCCGACGCTCGGGCACCGGATGTTTGGCCTGGCAGAAGCCGTGGATCGAAGCGCACGTCAAGCGGAAGTGTGCATGCCCCGATAAAGAACAACAAGCTGGACTTGTGTATCTGTAGTCTTCTGTAGCAGCATGCACTAATGCACCCAGTTGCTACTGGATGAGAACTCAAGATAGCAAGGGCCCGTGACAAATTTGCCTGCAAGGTCTGCGTCATCGGATTCGAGGCAGTCACAGCATCTCTGCTGGAAGGCACCTCGAACAGACCAAAGCTTCAAGCAGAAAGGGTGACATCGGAAGCTGCTCCTCAACTCACCGACTCTGCAACTTTCGACCCAGCGGCCTGGGGGGAGACGAGGGCTCTGAGTTTGACACTCTTCCCTGTAAGCCCCGCGCAACGAAGAATGGGTCCGACCTTGGAAGTGCTTTGCAACACGAACAAGACCTCTGAAAGAGTGAAGGCATTCCCGAAACCGACCATGGGCAAACTGGACTCAGCAAAATTCATGACGCAAGGCCAGAGAACAAGACAGACACCTGCTGCCCTGTCTCCCCATGCACTCTGTTTGGGGGCATCTCCGGCTCACAGCCCAAGACGCCCTCTCTGCCCTGTCTCCCCCCCCGGCACTCCCTTTGGGGCATCTCCGGAAAGCGCCGGAAAGAAAACCGAGTAATGTAGGAACCTGATTCAGAAACCCTGGCTCTTTTATTAGGGTTCTGAATATGATCCCTAATATATTGGGGTTATAGGGGCCAGGGTTTCTTAACCCTAAACCCCTAAACCCCTAAACCCCTAAACCCCTAAACCCTAAACCGTTCGGAAGGCCGCCGGGACGCTTCGGAGAGAAGTTCAGGAGCTCCCCGAGGCTACTCTCGGCGAGCCAGCGGGTGTCGTCCTGAAAAAACCCTCAGGGGCAAAAAGGGGTTCAGGGATTAGGGTTTAGGGATTAGGGATTAGGGATTAGGGTTTAGGGTTTAGGGATTAGGGTTTAGGGTTTAGGGTTTAAGGATTAGGGTTTAGGGTTAAGGGTTTAGGGGATTAGG